TGTCGTACCCGGGGCAACCATCGAGAAGTCACATGATCGCGACCCCATACAGGCGAATCCACACCACCACGGACTTCCCGCAACGAACCCACCTTCAGCTTATGCAGCGACTCAAACAAGAACCAAGCTGAAGTCATCATCTTAACCCGAGTCGACCCTAAACCCCCCGCAGTAACCTGCTTGACGTCTACGACATCGAGGCTGTACGCCTCCACAAACGGCTCCCAGAGCCCTGGCTCCACGCTTGACCCATCCGGGAAGCAGGAATCACTGACCCCCACTCCCGACGAAGCTTCCCAAGCGATAAACACTGAGGAACCCTTAGGGCCCCTGTCAGCCCTGGAGCTTAACCTTTCCGCAGCACAACCCATGGCCCACTTAACGAGCTCCTGGGGATCAGTGATTCCCTCTGGTAACAGTTGCTCTCGTGGCTCGGCTAAATCACCCTCACATTCTACGACCTGGCCATCCTGAACAGCCTGGGCCACCGCATAAAGCAACACAAACCGAAGGTCCAAAACCAGCCTCTCTTCGGCGTCTCCTTGACAGGCCTTCGAACCTTCCCCAGAAACTCCGTCACTCGGCTCATTTACAAAGCCACCTACAACCCCCGATAGGGTCCAACGCAGTAAGTGACTAAACACACAGGCACTCCCAAGACCCTTTTCAGAATTAGGAACCCGAAGTACCCTTCCAGACTCTTTCCACCCACCGGGTCGGTCCGAGCAAGAAATCAGTACAGATTCAGAACGTCCCTTGTCAAGGGACCGGCGCATCCTTCGGTTCCACGGAAAGTCAGCCCAATCAGGATGCTCCGCGGAAGCCGATTGCACACAGGCTCGCGTAATCACACTAGTGGACACTGAAGGAAACAAGCTTCGCAGAAAGGCAAACTGAGAACCTTCATCCAGGCCTCCCCTTGCACTTCCAATCACCCTTTTCCTAAACCAGTCCCGGACACACCTCCTATCTACCTCCTCCGGTGGGTCAGCAATCCCAACCTTACCCAAAAACTTTCCTTCCCTAACCAACAACTCGTACTTCTCCAACAACCTCAAACCTACCTCCCTTGGTATCAAAGGGCAACCCTTCACCACCTGCACAGCAAGGCGTCCCTCTTTAGGATGTCGAATAATGCAGCCCCGCTTACGCCACGAAATGGCAAACCCTAGCTCCACCAAATACATGGCTGGCAGTATAACTTGACAAGGTCCCGCATGAAGCAATGTGCCATAGCTATTCACCCTCAACTCCGTCCCTCCGCTCGCTAAGTCGACCTTGATAACCTTGCAACCCTGAATCTCATCATTGGTCGCCGGCCGCAGTGCGTTAGTCGCACCACTGTCGACCAGGCAGAAAAGCGGGTCCGACGCGCTTGTCAGGGCACTTTTAAGCCAAGAAGGGTCCACACTAGGAACTTCAGGTCTAAGGGCCTTAAGGGTAACCCCCTTAAGCAACTTCGCAGCCTCGGCTAGCAATGCTTCCTGCGTTACTTGGGTTCCTGTCCCAGCCGTGGCCCCGGATGCTGACGCCGAATTTCCGTCACCCCTCGATTCTCCTTGCTCCGTAACCCCTTTCGCCTGAGCCGCCTTGGCCTTAGGCTTAGCCTTAGGTGCACCCTTTGCAGCTGGACTAGGAGACTTGGGAGAAGAATCCGAGGTTGACTCCTGGACCACACGATGCTCAGCCGGCACAACTGGACAGTCAGGACGATAATGGCCCGACTGTCCGCAAGCAAGGCAACGACTCTCTTTCCTCGCTTTAGCCCTATCATGCTTAAACATACACGAGTCCCCAAACCGGCACCCTGAAGCGTCGCTAAACTTATGGCACAATGCCGTCCCATCCGCAGCCTTACCTTTGCCCTTGCCCTTTCCTTCAGAACCTCCTGCATTCGCGGCCGCTACAGACGCACTCGCACCACTTCCAGCAGCAGGAGATGTTGGTGATGGGGCCGCAGGCGGTCTGGGAACTGGTGGCGTAGGAGCAGGGGTACTCATGGCGGCAGTTCTAGTCCTCTTATCTCCGCTGCTGGACGACTCCACCAAAGCTGCAGCTTCACTCTCAGCTTGCAACAATCGCACAAGTTGTGTAACCCCTACGGTAGTAGGGTTGTAATCTAGTGCAATACTATGTCTGAATGAGTTAACCCTAAACCCGATCATTGGGCTATTCGCCAACAACGGCGCCGTGGCGGAGTCTACTCCCTTTAACAGAAGAGAAGCGTCAGGTAACGTCGCCTTAATTTCACTTGCTCTCTGTAACGACTGCTGCCACTTCCTAAGCACCTTTATGGCCTCTTGAAACCCTTTACATGGCTCAGGGGAAACCAATTGCCCTAGCAACTGTGCTCTTTCACTCGAACCCCCAGGTTGATAAGCGCATAAAATACGGAACAAGATCGCCGCAGTACTAAGCCAACGGTTCGTAATGATGTCATCCCGCACCGAGTTTGGAACCGACGCCAAAAGCAAGGTAACCGCCCTCGATTCTACACGCTGAAACTTATGGGCATCAAACGCCGCAACAACCGAACTGGGATCTAGTCCTAGCCGTCCTAGCGGGTCCGCCACTAGCCACCTAGAATACCCTTGATGAGCCGCTAGCTCTACCGCACCATACCATACATCCGCCGAAGGAGAAAGGCCCATAAAAATCTGCTTAACTTGCGCCAACCAATTTCCGCATACTATGGCCGAGTTGGCTAGGTCCGCTTGCGCCAACTTAGGGATCTCACTTATGTACTTAGCGGGTTCTTCAGGCCTAGTTTCCCCAGAACCCGACCCTTGCCCTGGAACCGAGCCACCTAGACCATACATCCCAACTGCAGGGTAACCCCCAGAACTCAAACCCGAGCGTAATCCTGGTTCCATCCCTCCCGGTAGGTATCCGAAGGTCCCAGACCCTGGTAAAACTGGTCCCGGACCCGGTGGGCCTGCAAGCATCCCTGGAGGCGGCCGCGGCGGGGCCGGAGGCGGTAGCGGCGGGGGTCGTATCACCGTGCCACCAGGTGACAAGGGATACCCATTAGGGTCAAAGGCAGGACCGCTAACCCCGGACGACCTTGGAGTCTCAAAACCCAAAGCCTCACTCGCAAACTGCCTCATAGACTGCGTCCGACCCTCACCTTCGAGACCACCCCGAAATGGAACCATAGCAGAAGGTGGACACCCCCCCGAACATTGCTGAGGCTGCCCCACAGAACCCATGTCTAACGCAAGGGCACCTTCACACCTCTGGGTAGCCTGTGGCCTCGGTACTCCCGCGGCGGGTAAAGGATTCGAGTTTACATCTGCCCTACCTAGGTACCCAACATCACTCTTGAAACCCGGGAAATCCGGAAACCAGGCACCTTCAGGAGGCACCGCCTGTACAAGGGACTCAAAGCCTCTTCCAGGCCCTGTCACCTGGGATCCAAAAGGCATCGAAAACGACATTGGCGAGCCAGCAGTCATTCCCATGTCACCTTGCGTGCCGCTGTGCCAAGAAGAATGCGACCGGAGTTCCACTTGCTCCAATCGCCGCTTAAGGGCACGATTCTCCTCCATCATCTGTACCAGCAACGCTTCGACATTCAGGGAGGACCTTTCCTCAGGAATGAGCTCATCATCCCCATGTACTCCGGCCTGACCAGATGAAGTAGTCTCCCTCGGACCCTTCCCAGCCTCTGCAAGCTTAGCACCCTCCACGACGCTCTCAGCAAATCCGGCCAAAGCTCCACCATGCCAGTCCGCAGTCACTGCCACGTCCTCGGCGCCAGCCGAAGGTTCCACCCTCGCTATCCTAGGGCCTGTAACCCTTTCCAAAGGTTCAGCACTTCCTTCACCCCCAGTCGTTTCCGCGTAATTGGGTTCAGCCCCATTGTCACCAACCCAATCTCCTTTTGCAGTACGATCTCGGGTAGCAAGGATTCTTGCTTCATCCTCATCTAGCGATAGGGGACGCTGCTGTCGCAGAGCAATCTCGTTCTTGACCTTTTCGCTGTGAAAGGGACTCGCGGACATACCCGCGCCAAGGGAGGGACCTGGTCCCCCACCCTGCTCCAGGGTATTGGGGGATGCTTCCCCCTGATAAATAGCCACCGGGACTTCAACATCCCCAGCAGCCCTTTGTCCTTGACTCAAAGCTGTCCTGTAATCGTCTTCCAGACGCATGCCCGTAGCCTCTTGGTCTCCAAGCGGGGCGGAAGCTCTTCGGTTACGCACCATGGGATCCATGACGCAACACTTCTACCCCTAGCCCAGTACAAGAAACTATACCCAAAGAGTTAACAACCCTAAGCCGACTACGGCTGATAACCTACGTGAATTAGATCAAAGAATCCGGAAATAGAAGAGCCCCGTAGAACACACTGAACCTGGAACTCGGACGTCTACCACTTTTCTTCGAGAAAAAACAGCCTCGTCGTGCCCGGGCATGGCTCCTGTGCGTCAGAGACATCAATCCACGCACCTAGGGCTTAGGATTTAGCCATTCTGCCTGAACATCCCAGGCTAGCTAGCGCCGGTGACCTGGTGACCCAGATGGCTCAGGGTGTAAACTGCACTCATGACACAATTATCGACAAAGGCTCAGACACCCAGCCACCACCCCTATACGGCCACTTCCTCCGCAAAAACCCCTGAAAACCACCCATGGAGGCTTACGGGACTCAGCAAGAATGTGACTGCACTTGAGGAACCCGTACTGATACTGTGGGCACAGGCCACCTAACCACAACGACCTTTACCACGTCCCTTCAGTCTTTAAAGAAGCCTTTCGAGCTGCACAACCTCCTCCACACCCTAATATAGGACCTCAATAATGAAAGTAGGTTTGGGGTATACTATACTGTAATTATACTCAGGAGCCCTTAGAGTAGTATTGATATTTATTTATGCCCTTATGGTAGATCTCAAATGCTCGACACCTCAAAACTGCTGAACCCCAGGCTCGAACAAACCGTCCAAAGGCCAGGCCCCGAAACCCATAGCCCCAAATCACCCAATCCTCCCCGAGGCCTGAGATAAGATTAGCGAGCTGATGGTGATGGGCACCTGAGCTTGGTGGCTGTGACAGGCTTCGGAGCTGAGATTCTTAATGGAGGATTTCGGGCTTCTGGTTTCGGGCAAGGGATTGTAGGTCTAGAGTATGGAGCAAAGGTCAAAGCTGAGAAAGCAAACGACTCCCCTCAGCATGTTGCCAGCAGACCCCAAACCGGAATCTCCACTCCCACACCTGGAACCAGCTTTCAAACAAAGGTGATCGCCATGACAGTGCTAGCGAAAGTAGCAGCTACGGCTGCTGTCATACACTACACCGAACCTTGGACCCCAAAATTTTTACTCACTAGGCAGCAAGCCCACAGCCCCTAGATGAATTCTAATCACCTCAAACCCCCAAAATTGCCGAAGCGCCATGATGGTGCTGCGGAGAATCTCCTGCACCTGCTCGGTGATTCTTCTGGGTTTTGGTTCATTTAGGGTTTGGGGTTGAGGGTTTATGGTTTAGGGCACCTGCTTGGTGATGATTCTGGTTTCGGGTTTAAGGTCTTGGGTGTTTCCCTGCTGCTTGGGGCTTCTTTATTGGGTGGAACAGGAAGTTCCCACGGGTTCTTTGAAAGTTCTTGTGGGTTTCAAGAAAAGTCCCTGCACCGGCCGTATAGGGTCTTTGTGAGGGGTTCCCATGACGGCATCATGACGGTCTCAAAGGGAGATGCACAAGCGTCTGGTCAGGATCCTATCCGGATACAGAGCGTAGGCGTTGAGGCGTTTTGGTTTGACGGTTGAGGGTTCTACGGCTGAGGTAGTTTGGTCTGCTAAACCTTAGCAGACCGATTTCTGACACATGTGGAAGACAAACTAAAGACTGATATTTGACAGAGTTAATTCCGGAACCTGCCCCCAGAGATTACAAGTAATCAAGTCTGGATTTTGAGTTTGGGGTTCTGGGGGCCTTTCTCCCGGCTCGAAGCCCTGAAATCTTAAAGCCCTAAAGGCTTCTAGGGGTTGAGGGGTTTAGGGACCCTAAACCCTAAACCTCTAAATTCCTAAAGCCCTACGGCGGAATCACGCTAAACCCCAAAACCCTGGAGCCCCAGCCTTGCTTGTGGGTCGGCTGGGGCTGGGGACCCCAAGAGTGCTTAATGTAGGGACCTTAATAATTAGAACAGGGTTTTGGGGGTTCCTTATTATAGCTACACTGTAATATACTAATAAGCAGAAAAGGATTTTGGGAGCTCCTCATAGAAGTTATACTATAATATACCCCCACACCGTATTCTAATTATGAAGGCACCTATACTGAAAACTCAATCCTCAACGCCATTCTGGCTTATAGTATACCATAATATACCACCAAACCCTATTCTATCTTTTAAAGGCCGCTGTCTTAAAGCCTTTTTATCCTCAACGCCATTCTGGCCTGTGGGTCCCGGCTGAAGATACCACCAGCTCTCTGCAGCGCAAGGAAGGCCGCACCTCCCCACATTCCCCAAACAATTCATGACCATGTTTAGGGTTTAGGGTTTAGGGTGGTGACTCGAAAATTCGGGCATTCATTTAAACCTCAACCCAAGCCCTAATTCATAAGCCGACAAGTCCAGTCTAGTGCTCTATTGCGGGAGGTTTCGGTGCCCTGTCCACCTAAACCCTAAGCCCCAAACCGCGAACCCTAACCCTAAACCTTAAACCCTAAACTCCACACCTAAACGCTGAACCCTGAACTTGAAGCCGAAACCCTACATCGACAAAATCCGGACAGACCGGGCCTCCAACCGCGACGCATACAGCGATTGCTAAGCCCTGGCAGCCGTCGACATCCAGGGGTTTGGGGTCCTACTTGGAGGGTCGGGGGACTTAGGAAGTAGGTATTAAGTAGACTTCTAAGTACCCTACAAGGGACCCTGATTGGGGTTATGGTACTTATAAGTCCCGAAAATAACCAGTTACTAAGTCTCGCGACCCTCCAAGTAGGGTTTTAGGGTGTAGGCTTTGGGGTTTAATCAGTGTTTCTGGTTGACAAGATCAGGTTGGTTCACGGTTCAGGAAGAAATGTCGGCATCATCGGCGTTATCGCGGAGCTGCGAGTGTAGCGCTTCAGACAAGGATGCAAATCGCGCGCGCAGGCTGCCTGAACAGACTACAAAGTTTCGGGCTGCATCTAAGTGTTGTGGCTTCTTGTTAATGTTTCAGGTCATTATTATGAAACTCATACCATCATTATTGTTGCTCTCATTTCTGAGAATATAATTAGTCTTCTTCTCTGGCTTCCTTAGGCAGCCAGACTTGACTTTGAATCTAGGGACTCCGTGTTCAACTCAAACATGGCCTTGCTCCCGGGTCATATGAATTAGAAACCCCAACGTTCAGGCCCGAGCCTTATCAAGCCCACATCCGCCCAAATCCAAGCCTAGAAACCCGTATAAAACCTTGATAAAGGCAAATCCAAACCTACAAACCTCAAGAAAACCCTGCAGAAAGCTATTCAAACTCTTGAACGTCACATAAAACCACTATGCTGCGGCAGTCTCTAAATCCTAAACTCTAAACCCTAAACCCTAAACCCTCTACCCAGTCAAAGCCGCCAGGCCACTGCCAGGTTGCGAAGCAGCGTTCGGGCCTTCGCTCGCGTTCTCACGAGTTTGAATGTGGATTTTTTGGCTTCCGGCTACCTACTATTTGCTTAAGAGCCCCCAGAAAAAAATATATTCCTTATTGGGGTAATATAGGGATTATTATTTTTTATTTTTTGGGGGTTTCTTAAGCAAATAGTAGCTACGCTTCATGTAGGGCTCTCCCTATGTCACTGAAGTTGGCACGGTCGAAGGAGTGTTAGCAAAGATGCGCTGCTGCAGTCATAGGTAGTACGGGGCCCAGCCCAAGGAAGATGGCAGCTGGTAGTCATGAAGATAACCCGCACATCCATAGCCGTCGCACATCCATAGCCGTCGTCATCCTCACCACCATCGTCACCACTGTCAAGCACGCTTGGCCCGAAAGCAATCCATGCGAAATGCATACCACCCAAGCTGTCTTAAGGCGAGCGAGAGAGAGAAAGAGAGAGAGAGAGAGAGAGACGGACGGAAACGAAGACGGAGACAGAGAGATACGGAGATAGAACAAGAGCCTCAGGTCCTTTAAACTGGAGTCCATGTCTAGGCTTTAGAGCTTTGTGAGCCCTGCATGGGTAGTTCTCAAAATTGTATTATATTAAGGACCCAAACAGGGACCATAATTTTGACAACCACCCACATTGCGAAACTCCTGCAGCCGGTGCTGACACAGGTGGACCCAGGTTGCAAGCGACTGCAAGGATTTTGACGCTCCTTGACGTAACTTACCTTACATTGCTTAGTTCAGGATGGCGGGCTCCATGGGCCCAGAGTTGATAGCCTAGGTTGAACCAGTTTGGGGAACAGGTGCCAAAGGCTGCAAGCGCCGAAACCCCCTCCAACGAGCCACACTCCTAAACGAATTCCACCCCTGGCCTGCGCTTGCCGATCGGGGCCACCATCCAGCAGACTAGGCAGCATGGTCTGCGCAGTCTGGGACAGAGGCTCCCCGAAGAGTCCAAAAAGGACCACCACATTCGCCAGAACCTCCCCGGGCGTCTTGCAAGGAAGCTCCAATGAAATGTACTCAAAGGGCAGGAGATGCGTGATATCTGTTGTCTCCTCAAGCTGGCATGTTATCGGTCGGTGGTCATAGAGTCCCCTAAACCCAACACCCTGAACTCATGAGCCCGGTAAAACCCTAAGCCTCAAAGACACCGGTGGCCTGGTAGCCTGCGATGGATGCAGTGCCCATAGTTCCTGCCGCGTTGGCAGTTGAGGGCTTCAGGCTTTGGGCTTCGAGCGAAGCATAGCAACCTTCATAATCAGAATAGACTTTTGGAATCTGTTAATGTATAAGCCTAAACCCTAAACCCTAAACCCTTACTTATACAGCGGCTCCGATGGGTTTACTGGGGATTTGCGGTGCTGGAGCTTTCGCTTGCAGGATCTGAGGTTCCGGGCTCAGCTGTGAAAAGTCACGGTCACGAATTCTGTCTCAAAGCCCGCCGGTTTTACGTGGGTTGTTTGGGGCTGAGGCTTTGTTTTTAAATGCAATGCCCTTTTCCTTGCGTCCAAGGGTTTAGGGTTTGGGGTTTAGGGTGGAACCACTGGATTGGAGATGTGAGTTTCGGGTCCAGGAGTTTGGGGTTTAGGGTAGAGTTCTTGGAGGGTCGGGGGACTTAGTAACTGGTTATTTTTGGGACTTATAAGTACCATAACCCCGATTAGGGTCCCTTTTAGGGTACTTATAAGTCGACTTACTAACTACTTACTAAGTCCCCCGACCCCCCAAGTTCCAACTGACCGCTAGGATGCCCAGTGAAGCTTCTAGGTTGGTGGCTCAAGGCCAAGATTGGGTTCTTGTTAATGATTTAAATGTAGGTGGTTGTCAAAAGTATGGTCCCTTTTGGGGTCCTTATTCTATTACGGCACCTAACCTCCAAAATTGGGTTCTTCTTTCCCTAAGGCTCCTTATAGGCTTAGGGGCTTTCTGGGCGATGGTTTGGGCTTTGGGTGGTAAGGTTAGGATCTCACTACGAGGGTCCAGGAGCATTAGGGTAAGGATATAACTTAAGCTACCACAATAGGGATCTATAGCAAATACAATCGTTTCTTCAATGGTAAGTTAGCTTAAGTCTCATAACAAGAACCCAGGAAATTTATGGGGCTAGGGTTCAGGTAGAGTGTATGCTTAGCGATGAAGGCTTTGGGTTTTCGGTTTAAAGTTAGACATGTAGACTTAACTTTATTGAACCCTCCTACAAGTCAAAGTTTACGCCTCCATACTATAATTCACGTAGAAGCCCAGAACGTTAAAGTCCTAAGAGCCAACCAGAATCCAAGGGAAAAAGGAGGAACCCTTAATCAGGACCCCTAGGTATATACCCTGAATGTAGCTATTATATACCCATTATATAGCCCACTATAGGGTAGCGGTCCCCATTAAGGGCCCCTCCTTTTCCCCTAAACCCCCTAAACCCCCAAACCCCTAAACCCTAAATCCTATACCCTGATAGCATCCCTATAGATCCCTTTAAAGGGACCCTAAAAGGGTCCCTCCTTTTCCCCTTTGACAGAATGCCGAGAAGTTACTGAACCCCTATAAGCCCTGAACCGCCTTGGCAGGGCTGAAGCCTTATGATCTCAGGCTTGGGCCCTGAATCCCGAAGACCCCGTAAACCCCTAAACCCCTAAACCCTAAACCCCTAAACCCTAACCCCTAAACCCCTAAACCCCCAAATCCTAAACCCCTACACCCCCTAATCCCTTAAACCCATCATGCTCAACCCCAATTCTTAAACCGCGCGAAGACGGCCTGCGGTCTTTGCCATCCAGGTAAGGCTCATACACCTCGGCTATGATTGGGCCACTATGCGGCCACTATAGGATTTAGGGTTTAGGGCTTCGGGCTATTTTTGGGCCACTATGGGCCTATGACAGGATTTTCGGTGGGGTGTCATAGGAGGGTTTCTGTGGCTTCTTCGGGCCCTCAGCTTAGACAGCTGAGGGTCCAGGGCTTTGAGCTTCTTTGAGTTCGAGGCCTCTAGGGTGGTAATGTAGGGGCCTTACCCAGAGAGCCCAATACCCCTTAATTAAGGAATATAGCTTAAACCATAATATGAAGCCCTACATAATTTAAAATTGAAGGGCATTGGGCTCTCTAGGTGCTCCAACCTTCTGCCTTCTACTTTGAAGTTCGGGGTCTGGCCGTGAGGTTTTGGGAGCTGGCATGACTGCCCAGAGAGCCCAATACCCCCTTAATTAAGGAATATAGCTTAAATCATCATATGAAGCCCTTTCTCATTTAAGAAAATTCCGAAATTAAATAAGGGGTATTGGGCTCTCTGACTGGAGGTGTTTACATGGAACGGCAGCACTAATTCTCCCACAACGTGATGCACAAATGTCGCACTGTGGACGCAAGCCCTGAAACCCGAAAACGAGGACTTAAGCGTCACAACCTGACGCACATGCCCAGAGAGAGCCCAATGCCCCTTCCTTAAGCGATATGGCTTAAAATATATAGGGCTTCATATTATGATTTAAGCTATTTCTTACTCAAGGGGTATTGGGCTCTCTGGGTGCTACCGAGGCACCAGGGGTAGATCTGGCAGCACTGAACAACTGGTGAGTTTGCGGCACCAACATGTCGCAGAAAATGGTAATATGATATATGACATTTTATGGTCGTTGGTACAGTGACGAATGCCACAAATGCGGAGCAATACTCCCGTCGCGTCTTACGATAAATATGTCGGGAACATGCAGCGGCAAACCCAAGAATGCGCACGCACAAGCCTTTGCTCCTCAATGCCGAATGCCGAGCCCTAAACCCTAAACCACGAACCCCCAGAGAGCCCAATACCTTAGTTGAGGGCTATTGGGCTCTCTGGGCCCAAACCTCCATCCGAAACCCCCCTTCAACGACAGCATGAAGACAGCAAGACAGCAATCGCTCTCGGAACTTTATGAGGATGGTCAATACTGTTGATGATAAAAATCTTGCATTACCTTAATGATCCTAAACTATGGGCATTATGTTATATTCCTGATTATGGGTAGTGCAGGCTTTATATTACCAACCGTATTTGCACACAAGACGCCGAAAAGAGATCACAACTGCCAGAGGGCGCGCATACCTGGAAGAAGGGTTTTGTTCTTTCGGCTAAGCACTTCTGACTTCTTGGAGACGGAATGATCCTGGTCCATGCAGATTGGCGTGTTTGGAGTTGGAGTCGTGGGCATTTCAGGCCGCTGGATCTCACATGGGGCATAGGACCGATTACCGATTCCAGCTTCCAACCATTACTGCTGCGATGGAACTGAGCTACCTGTTTCATCAACTAGTATGCATCTAGGATACCCAGTAACCTAAGAATAAAAAGGCCTCTCTTTTTGGTATTGGGTAACTTTATAAGGAACCTAGGACTACAAAAAGGGAATAAGGGTACTACTGGAGATCCTAGGCATTCCAAGCCCTTTCAGCGCCATGTCTATAGGATGGCAGAGCATGGCGAGCAGTCGAAGTCTTGGGCAACGACCTTGAGCAGACCCTTGCATTTCATATTTGATGTTTTTGCAGACACCCCGGTCTCTCGTAGAATTCTGGGCTCAGTTGTTTAGGTGTTCTTAAGTTGTTTAGGCCTTCGGCTTGGGGACTCATGGTTTAGGGCTGTGCTAAGACTCTTGAACCATAATATCAACCTACAAAACCTTGCTGAAACCCTATAAAGCTCTTGAGGGCTGAGGTTTCAAAAGCACTATGACGCCCACTACCTGTTCAAGGGTTCAGAAGACAGCCCTTAAACCCCTCACCCTAAACCTGGAAACCTTGAACCCCCCAAAGCCCAAACCCTAAACCCCTCAACCCTAAACCGGGAGGGCCCGAACCTCTAAGCCCAAACCCCCCAAAAAACCCAACCCCAGACCTTAAAGCCTAAACCCTCAGGCCCCAAGGTCCTTGCTACCAAAATACCTCATACACTCTAACGAACCTAATCATATTCTCGCTTCCTATCTTACCAAATATCACCATATCATATACATCCCAGTCTTGTCCATACCCGAAACTAAACCCTAAACCCCGAAACCCTAAACTCCCAAACCCTAAACCCCTAAACCCCCAAACCCCCAATCCCCTAAATCAACCCTAAACCCCTATATACCCTATACCCTAAACCCTATATACCCTATACCCTAAACCCCTAAACCCCAAACCCCGACACCCCTAAACCCCTACACCCTCCCAAAACAGACAAAGGGACTCCAAGAGCGGCGTCAGCTCGTCAGGCTTCGGGATGCCCAGCTTTGGGGCCATCCCACTCCTGACTTTGGGGCTTAGGACTTTAGGGCTTAGGATTGGGGTTAGGCTTTAGGCTTTAGGGCTTTAGGGTGTAGGATTTGGGGCTTAAGGCTTTAGGGTTTAGGGTTTAGGATTTGTGGATTAAGGCTTTAGGGTTTAGGGTTTAGGACTGCTGACTTCGGGGCTTACCCGGACCCCAAAGGTATGTAGAATATTTGCCGTTTTGGGGCTTTGGGCCATGATTTTACCTAGTTTTGAGGGTCTAGGTGTGGCTTCAGGGGTTTGGCTTTAAGGCTTTAGGGTTTAGGATTTGGGCTTTAGGGCTTTAGGGTTTAGGATTTGGGGTTAGGGCTTTAGGGCTTAGGGTTTAGGATTTGGGGATTAAGGCTTTAGGGTTTAGGGTTTAGGACTCCTGACTTCGGGGCTAGGGACCAGTCTTGGGGTTTAGGATTTGGGGATTTGGGGATGAGGGCTTTAGGGCTTTAGGGTTTAGGGGTTTAGGGCTTTCGGGCTTTAGGGTTTAGGGCTTTAGGATTGCGGTTTAAAGGCGCTACGGTTTGTGGATTTGGCTTTAAAGGCTTTAGGGTTTGGGGGTTTGGCTTTAAAGGCTTTAGGGTTTGGGGGTTTGGCTTTCAAGGCTTTAGGCTTCGCAGGTTTGGCTTTAAGGGCTTTAGGGTTTGAGGGTTTAGGGTTTGGGGGTTTAGGCTTTAGGGCTTTAGGCTTTGGGGGTTTGGGGTTTAGGGCTTTAGGTTTTAGCGCTCTAGGGGTTTGGGGTTTAGGGTTTGGAGACCTTATAGGACCATTCAACACCATATAGAAACACCCTAGAAATCCAACAAAACACCTATGAGAACCCTACAAGACCCATATGACGAGATGCAAAGTTAACCCTAAACCCTAAACCGTTCCGACCTTTCAGAAACCCGCTTGAGAGGCTCCAAAGGCCGATAATTGAAAAGTCCAAGGGGCCGCTTCAAAGCGCGGAGCATCAGGAGGAAGCCTGCCTTTGGTTTAGGGTTTAGGGTTTAGTTCTTGTTAAGGAGTTTAGTAGGATCTATAGTAAATATCATGGCTTCTTTATTATGGTAACTTGTATTGGACCCCTTAACAAGAAGCCTGCTCTTGCGCTGGTTGAGGGTTAAACTTGGTACACTCCTCGATTTGTGGTTGAGAGCGCAGGGTTTAGGGATTGGGATTTAGAGGTTTTGGCGCTGACAAGCGGCGATTTATTGAAACTGAGGCCGTCTGAAGGTTGATACGGTCGTATCAGGATCTTGCTAGGTTTAACCCTAAACCCTAAACCCTAAACCCTAAACCCTAGGGGCAGTGATTTCTCGCAAGTGTGACTCCTGCAGGACTCTGAAGGGCCTGAAGGGTTTCTGAAACATGAGTAGGTGTCATGTACTACTGGGTCATGAGAGTTCGGGTGTGCTGGAGGCTTATTGGGGAATCTGTTGCCGAAGTGTGTAAACCTCACAAGAACCACACAGACAATCTCAAAGGGGTTGCTGTTATATACGCGAAAAAACGTTTACGGAACCAGCATAGAACCGGAGTGCTGCTAATTCTGCAGCCTCCTCTTTTGACAACCCCTAAAACCCTAAACCCCAAACCCTGAAACCTAAACCCTAAACCTTAAACTCTAAACTCCCACCCTCACCCCTGAACCCTGACCCTAAACCCTAAACACTAACCCTAAACCCTGAAGCTCTCGGATGCGCACCAAGGTGGATGCGGCCGTGGCCGCTGCTGCGCCTGCCAAGCCCAGATGACAAGGCCAGGCGCCTGAGCCGCTGGATCACAGTCCTATAGGGGCCTTAGCAACTAGACTAGGGTTTAGGGTTTAGGGTTTAGGGTTTTTGAAAAGGCGTGTAGAGTTGGATTTTTTATAGGGTTTAGGGTTTGGGGCTTTGTGGTTTTAGCTTTAGGGTTTAAGGTCTTGGGTTCAGCTCCAGTTTGGGGTGTAGGGTTGGTTGTATAGGGTTTGGGGTCCACCTTATTGTGTTGAAGACCAGGATTTAAGGTGTATTTCCGAGGGCTTAAAGTGGGGGGGTGCGGATCGAGGCTTGTGGCGCGAGTTGGCGAGGTCGGAGTTGGGAATGTTTAGGAAGCCCTTGACCCAAACCTACGCCGAAGTAAGATAGGACATAGGCGACACAGAGGGTCTCAACAACTAGAATCGAGTTTCGGCGTAAGCAGCATGAACAGTAATCACTATTCTGGTAGCAATGGTGAGATTGATCATAAAACGGGCGGTACAGTAGTGACAAACCCTTTGGCCCTAAAGCTCTAAGCCCTAACCCCTAACCACTATAGCCGAAACCCATACTAGTCTGCCCAGTCACAGAGAAGAAAGTCGCCCAAGAGGTTTAAAAGAGCAGCCAAAGACACGACCTGTGAGCAGGTAGGAGTGAGAGGGTTTGGGGATTAGGGTTTAGGGTCTAGGGTTTCAGCAGTATCAGCAATATGCTTTAGGGCTTAAGTGTTGGTCCTGGTGACAGCGTTAGTAGTAGAGGCGGCAGTGGCTCTTCAAGGTTGGAATCGGAAGCCGTGTCCCGGACGCTGAAACTCCGAGGTTTTGGGCAAGGGATTCAACCCTGAACCATTTATATAGGGGATCAGAATCTATTCATTCGCAATCAGTATCCTCTCTCCGCGAGCTGAAATTGCGCTCTCAGCCTCTGCATTGGGTGCAGCATAAACCGTAGAAATCCCAAACCAAACCCCCGAAAGAGCTCCTGAAGCGAAGTCGCCAATCGGCTCAGCTCTCAACCCCTAAATCCCAATTCCTCAGTTCAAACCCTAAGCCCTAGCTCAAAACCCTAAACTGCAACCACCACTCTGCACCTGATTGGTGAAATCTTGAAGTCTGCAGCCACCAAGACTAGGATACCCAGTAACCTAAGAATAAAAAGGCCTCTCTTTTTCGTATTGGGTAACTTTATAAGGAACCTAGGACTACAAAAAGGGAATAAGGGTACTACTGGAGATCCTAGAAGAACCATGAATCATCTTGAAACCCAAAGCCCAAAACCTCGAGTCCTCGCACCCCAAACCCTACAAAACCCAACGCCATTCCCCAAACCCTACCTGGACCCTAAGGAACCTACCTTTTTAGGGTTCCCTAATATGCTTTCTATAAGTCCTTAAAAAGATAGGTTACGTGGGGTTAAAGTAATTGCTAAAACCCCTAAGCCCAAAACCTCAAATCCCAAGGCCCCCAAAACACGGACTCTTAGCCCCAAAAACTCCTAAACCTGCCAAACATCCACTCCAAGGCTACTATAGGGTGCCCGAGAGCCTTAAAGTAGAAGCCAGAAGTTTAGGGTTTAGGGTTTAGGGGTTTAGGGTTTAGGGTCTAGGGTTTAGGAACCTCATGATCCCCCAATGCCCTTAAGGTGACAGTGAAGTATAAGGAATCCTGGCGCTAATATGCGCTTATTGTCCTTGACCCGGGTCCGAACCAACTGTCTGGGATCCGCCGCAGACCCTAAACCCTTACAGTAGAAGCCAGAAAGTTGGAACATGGCTTTAGGAGGATTAGTGCTAGGATCCCTTATACTTTACCTTAAGGGCATGAGGAGTCCGATGTTCCAACTTTCTGGCTTCTACTATACTTGGAGGGTCGGGGGACTTAGTAACTGGTTATTTTAGGGACTTAGAAGTACCATAACCCCAATTAGGGTCCCTTTTAGGGTACTTATAAGTCTACTTACCTACCTACTTACTAAGTCCCCCGACCCTCCAAGTAAGGCCCTAAACCCGTAAACCCCTGATCTGATGGGAGGCCAAAAGGGGGGGGTTTGAGATTCTTGGGGTAGGGATTCCTTAGTATGAACCCTATTATGGGAACCCTAATCCCCACTAAACCCCCATATGCTAAACCCCTTTTGGCCTCCTACTTGAAACTTAACTCTGAACCGCACAAGACCCGAGGGCTCTGGCCTTCAAGGGAGTGATGCTGTCCTGGCCACTGAGGTTGAGTATTTGGGGGCATGGGGTTCAGGGCTTTGGGGTTTGGAGCCTAAGAAGTTTAAGGTTCCGGGGTTCAGGCTTTTCGGTCGTAGGCTTCGGGTCTAGAGCTTTAGGGCACCATGGCTTGCAGGATTTTGGGGTTACTTTTTGAAGTCGATCGCGCCAGAGCCTCAGAACGCACGCTCTACGATGTAATTGGGCGTTTATGGCTTAGGGTATGGGAATACAGGAGTGCTCTTTCCCTTCGGGGAGTGGACTTTCGCTGCTGGCCCTAAAGACGCTTTCCCACCACCTGGGTACGTTGTGTTCCTCGGAAGCTCCTTCTACTAGTCTACTACAGGGGCCTCAATACTTAGAATAGGGTTTTGGGGCCCATTATACTGTAACTACAATAGGGAACCCCCAAAATAGCATAGGTAATCATATTTAAGCCCCTATAGCACAGCCCCTTCTTCCAAGCGCTCAGGTGGTAAGGATGAGAGGTAGACATGAGCCAAAAAGCCCTAAAAACCACCGACCTTCACACAGCCCGGAGACCATGGAACCAAAAAGCCCAAACTAGCTGAGCCCTAAGCCCTAAACATTCTCACTCTATATTGCCCGACATGACCCTATATTACCTCATAGCAGTGATTACAGAGACCCGTGTAGAAACCTTACGGTGCACGTGAAGCAAGCCTTGAAGGACTCGAAGAAGTCCCAAACGCGAAACCCTGAACTCCGCCTTCGCCGCCAACAGGCCGCTCAGCGCCACGCTTTGGCAGAGCGCTGCCCAGGCAACCAGACCACGAATGCCTAGGCAGTTTCTGGTGGTTGAGGGTTCAGGGTTAACCCTAAACCCTAAACCCTAAACCCTAAACCCTAAACCCTAAACCCTAAACCCTAAACCCTAAGCCCTAAACCCTAAACCCTAAACCGTTAAGGGTCGTGGGTTCAGATTCAGGCTCTAGCGTTTAAGCTGAGCTGTTATTCTTGACGCTTTGGGAGTGGACACTTCGACGAAGCCGAGATTTCGACAGTTCTGCAAGCTTTGGGGCTTCGGGGCTTGCGATAGAATACAAGGTGGTCCGCTTTTGATGTGAGCTTCGACCTCCCAAGCGCGGAGTTTTATGGAGGTCGGAATAGAAATTGCCGGTGTCATCCCCTTACACTTATGTTCTCTTACAATACCCAAAAGCCCTGCTCTGATCATTGCTCAGGCATCTGTATTACCATGATCTTCCAGGCTGCGAACGTAGGTCGTAGCATCCGGCCTCCGAACGCCAGCTAAGGGCTTAGGGTGCAGGGCTTCGGGTTCAGGGTTCAAGCGAAATGGTGTGCTTCACTGCCCTAAATCCTAAACCCTACACCCTAAACCCTAAGCCCTGATCCCCTATGCTCAAGGGCAAACGCCTCAGCTCTGCTGCGACGCCGAGCCCTTTCAACATCGCCGGAGTGCCGACGAGATACCTGGGGTACTGCCCCTACCCTGTAACAGTCGGGTTCAGGGTTAGGGCCTAGGACTTAACTCTAAACTCTGGATGGAGTGCTAAAGCTTTAGCGTTCAGGGTTTCAGTGTGCTTGAACTGGAAATTCAAATCGGGCAGAAGGTTGTGAGTGATCCTTGCAGGACACCAAAAAACTTAGGGTGTGGCACTAGTTAGGAGTCTAGGGAGTTTAGGGTGGAGGATTTAAGGTTTGGTTTAGGGTTGAGGGTTTAGGGTTAGGGTGCAGGGCTTAGGGTTAGGGTGCAGGGTCAGGGTTTAAGGCTAGACAGTCCGGTGTCCAGAGTCCCCGTATAGTACTGATTTGATATCACCCAGAACGCGGATCAGATCCAGGTTCCTCCATGTTTAGGGTTTAGGGTTTAGGGTTTAGGGTTTAGATCGTAAGCCCCTTGAGTGTGTATTGGAGTACAGTAGAAGCCAGAAAGTTGGAATATCATTATCCTAACCCCTTTAAGGTAAATTTAATAGGGGATCCTACCATTAATCCATATTCCAACTTTCTGGAGTTCCCTTTATGGTCATAGTATTTATTAGAGAGGCTCTACTACAAGGGAATACTGCTGCTACTTCTTTAGCCTTCTGTATTAAGAGCTTGCTTCAGATATGCCGGCACCAAGGTTGCTCCTGAAGCGGTTCGGGCTAAAGCACACGATTAACTCTAAACCCTGAGAGTTCAGCACGTTGGGTTGAGGCTGATTATTCTAGAGGCTCACGCAGACTCTTAGTTAGACCAAACCAAAGCTTGAAATCTGAAGGGAAAGCCCTAAAACCCTTCTTGGGAGTTTGGGTTGCGCCTTTGCCTGCTCGAACCCAACTGTTTTTTTGCAGGGTTGACTGCACAAGGGCCCCTGCAACAAATTGGTTGTGGTTGGATAAGGTAGGTTGAACCTAGAACCCCGAAACCCGAAACCCTCAACCTGAATCCTACAACATAAATTTACCAACATACCTACCAAACCCTTAGAACCTAAACCGGAACCCCAAAGGCCTGAACCATAAAGCCGCTCTAAAAGCGCTCAGAACCAATAAACGCTAGACCAAAAAAATCAAACCTCTAAACACTAAATTAAACCCTCAACCCCAACCCTCAAACCCAAATCAAACATGTAAACTCGCAGAATTTTGATTTAACCTGAAGCCCAGACCCTAAACCCTAAACGCAGTTGAAGCCATTAACCCTGGACCCCCTGTTTTCGAAACCCTAAACACCAAACCCTAAAAAACCCTGAAGCCCAGAAACCCCTGAACCTTTCAGGCGCGACGCAGCGCTGTCAGCAGCAGCCCGACGGCTGCGCCCGCACTGAGCGCACGGCTGAGCTCCTGGCAGCTCAAGGACTCGGATTAAGGGCGTAGGGCTTACAGTAGAAGCCAGAAAGTTGGAACATAGTTGTCTTAATGCCCTTAAGGTAAAGTAGATGGAATCCTCGCACTAATCGTCCTGAATCCATGTTCCAACTTTCTGGGGTTCACTATAGAGTTTATGGTTTAGGGATTGGGGCTCAGGGTTTTATAAGGGTTTAGGGAATGCGGCTTAGGGTTTAGGGTTTTAGGATTTAGGACTCAGGGTTTTTGAACGGACCTGTACCGGGTTCTATCCAAGTTGAGTTTTAACGCAAAGGGGTCAGGTGCGTGGAGGTTTTTGGCGTTGGGTTTGGGGAGGGGGGGCGAGGTTTTCGTTGGTTTAGGGTTTAGGGTTTATGTGGTGGGCTCCTTTCTCAAGCTTATTGTAAAAGCCCGAAACTGGGAACAGTGTTAACCTCGTGCCCTTAGGGTAAAGTATGAGCAACCATAAACCCCTAAAGCCCCAACCCCTAAGCCCTAAACCCCTAAGCCCATGCTCGAACTCTCTGGGATCTCTCGATGGTCTACTTGCACGTTCATGGTCACTTATAAGTGGAGATATAAGTCCCCGAATTCGGCTCACAGCTATAGTTATCCTACTTACAACACGCACTTATAGCTACCCTAGACCCTAAACCCCATAGAACCCTTGGACAACTTATCTGGGTTCTGCTTTAAACCCTTTGAAAATTACTTCTGAATAGGTTCCCTTTATAAGGACATAAGGGAAATTAAAAATTATCCCAAAGCACAACCCAGTTATATGCCCACTGACGAGGTGTCTGAGCTGCTTGGGTTGGCTCTGTGGGGTCTCCGGGCTCGGCCCTTTGAGTGCTTGGGGCTAGGGGCCTTAATAATTCGAACAGGGTTTGGGGGTAAATTAAAATATCTAGGATACCCAGTAACCTAAGAACAAAAAGGCCTCTCTTTTTGGTATTGAGTAACTTTATAAGGAACCTAGGACTACAAAAAGGGAATAAGGGTACTACTGGGCATCCTAGTTATCCTATAATTATAACAAGGACCCCCAAAAAAAGAGGGGGGAACAGACGCGTCCCCGAGGTTTCCCACAATTTGTAATTGCATTTTTTGTAGAGCTGCGAAGGGCAGCAAAAGCAAGAAAGCCCCAGTGAACCTTATAAACCCTAATTGAGAATAGTTCGGGTCGTTGGCGCGGGACTACATGCTGACGCAGGCGCGCGATTAATGGGTGCAGTAAAAGGCGCACCCACCGCACATACTGTTACACACCCCTAAACCCTAAACCCCTAAACCCTAAACCCCTAAACCCCTAAACCCCCTAAACCCCGAAACCCCGAAACCCCTAAACCCTAAATCCTAAACCCCTAAACCCCCGAAACCCCTAAACCCCTAAACCCCCGAAACCCCCGAAACGCCCTAAACCCCGAAACCCCCCAAACCCCTAAACCCTAAACCCCTAAACCCCTAAACCCCCTAAACCCCGAAATCCCCTAAACCCCTAAACCCTAAACCCAAATCCTAAACCCCTAAACCCCTAAACCCCCCCCGAAACCCCCTAAACCCCGAAACCCCCTAAACCCCTAAACCCTAAACCCCTAAACCCCTAAACCCCCTAAACCCCGAAACCCCGAAACCCCTAAACTCAGGAGTTCCGAAGCTCACCCCCCCAACACTCCCCCCCCCCAGGCCTGCTGCAGAGTGCAAACCGTGCTCTGGTGGGCACAAGCTTAATTAGTACTAATTAGTAGTAATTAGGCTTATATAAGCTTAAATAGGCTTATTTAAGCTTATCCAAGCGAACATCACATGTATCGGAGATAGCACTAAATAAGCTTATTTAGGCTTAAGTTCAGGGTGTTTAGAGGACAGGAAAGGCTTTCCACCGAGGAGATCGCTTCATTGATCCTTAATAGCTCTACTGGGTCCTACTCGCTAGGTGGTGTTGGGGACATGGATCAGACAAAGTAGCAGCTAGATATCGGTGTTGGGTCTCTGCACAATCCGCGATCCCGGCATACAGGACGGTTCAGCAGCCGAGAGACAAGTTAACGAGCTTCAGGGTTTACATCTAGTCTAGTCTTTTACGCAGGAAGTGAAGACTGACGAGTGCCGTAAGCGAGGAAAGCCTTGCGACCTGACCGTGCGATTTTTTCTTGGGTTGTGGACGCACTGCAGTCACTGAAGTCACACGTGGAGCAGGAAATTGTCGATTTCATCGTCAGTCGGCATCTCACATCGGTCTGATTCGTTGTGGCGGTTCCACCTGTCATATGTCCATCTGAGCACATGCTTGAGTGCATCCTTTTCCGTGGCGACAAGGCGTGTCGGCCACCCACGCTGGCAACTTTGGGCACCTGGGGTGCCACCTGAGTTAAACGTGCAAAATGTTGGGAGATGGACATGTGCACGTTTGTTTCTAAACGCAGGCAAGTGGCTGATCTTGTACTGCACACGGTAGAAGTACGGCGGCACGTCGTTCCGAAAGGGCACCATGAAGCCATGATTGTTCTGCTTGGGAAGCAAGTCCTTCAATGTCGTTGGCGTCACACCCACGCGATGCGCTCCTCCTTCAGGGCGAGGTCGTCGTGGAGCAGGAGGAGCAGCTGCATGTGGCAACAACCCTTCTGTTTCAGGCTGTGCCGGTGATCCCTCTGGTTCCGGCCTGTTCCCTGGTGCTTCTGCCTGTCCGTCGCCTGCCTTGCTTCCCTTGCCACTGCCCTTGGATGCACCCTGCGCCGCATGCTTGGTCTTGAGTCCCTTCCAGAATCGCTTTGCGAAACTTTTCTCACGGGTCTGCTCCTGCTGCTTTTTCTGCTGGAACCGTCCTTGGGCTTTGAGCTTCTCGTGCAACTTCTCCTTGGCCCACTGATGCATCTGGGAAAACGCTCGCTGGTTCTCCACATCCAGGTGCTCGCACATTTCCAGGACCTCTTCCGCCGTCTTGGACATCTGGCGGCTTGCCCTCTTGGTGCGCATGGCCTCAATGACTCGTTTCCTTGTCTCCTCTGACTCATGCTGCAGCACAGCCTCGACAAGCTGCACCACCAACTCATCTCGCTTCACGTTCTTGTTCTCCGGCAGGCCCAGCTCGTGAATGATGAGCTGCAACTGAAGCTTGGTCAACCTGATGCCTCGAAGCAGACCGGCCGTCAGCATACTTTCACCTTCAGGTTTGGTCACACGAAGATGTAGTCCACCACGCAGGGCTGGGGGCATGCATGCTGGATGGCACACCTCAGTCGGTATGAACCTGAAGGCACTGTCACTGTCCTTCACGGTGTAGTTGAACAGGAACCAGGGTCGCTCACGACCCTCAGGGCGGACTCGTAGGAACACCTGAGAAGCAGGTGACATTACCGTAGGGGTTCGCCTTAGAGTCGCTGTGTTGAGGGCTTCGGATTTGTTTCCACTACGCACAGGAGGCGAAAACCACACGGTCACCGGGAACACACCTAGCCTGCGTTGCTGTTCGGAAGGGAAGGCTGTTGCAAACCCGGAAGCAAACATAAAACACACTCTAGGACAAAATTCGTTGCCAGCCGGGACCTTGAAAAGTTGCACCCGTAGCACATCACCGCCAGAAGACACCCAGGCTTCAACTCTCGCTTCGCGTGGGCTTGGAGGCTGAGGGAAACTTCGGTAGTGTCAGTGTATCGTATTGGGGTGGTTTGGGATGGATTGGGTTGTCGACACATGTACCAACAAGGCTATCCTCTGCTTCCCAAACTATAAACTCTCTACATTGCAATCGTTCTGTTACGGGTTTGTGTTTTGTTTTGGCTACAGAAAATCCAGGCTAGAGGCTGCACCATCGGCTTCTGAAACAGAACATGGCAAGCCGGCTGCCATGTAGCTGTTGAAACCGAGCGAGAGCACGTAGCTGTTTGTGGGCTTGTGCAAGTAGACTTCCTTCTTGGCAAAGAGACAGCCTCACCAAATTCATGGTCTTTCGTGCTGGCTTAATATAACAATTGTTGGTTTTGGCCGAATGAGATCTTGAACAGAAAGACAACTCCCTGCCAAACCAACTTCTCACCACCAACCTCTCACATCCCGGGCAGACCCTACCCCTGAGCCTGCCCACACGCGGTCCAAATTGGACCAATTCCTGGGAGCGTCCTCCTGAAGGTAGAGGGCTGCCGCAGCACCTCGCTGTTGCGACTCTGGGCCCGCAGCCTTCCACTGGACTGTCCGCATCTTCTCCGGCTTCGGAAGCAGGATGGAGTCCGGCGTCGTTGGCTCTGGCATGGGGGTAGTGCCCATGTGGAAGAGGTGCTGCATCCCTTCACGCACAACCTTCTCATGCATCCTGCTCTCGTCCCAATCATTCCTATCTGGCAAGACCTGCTTCATGCCACCTGTCTCTGGATACCGTGCCGTGGTCGCGTAGAACCAACGTGCGAAGTCGTTCATCTTCTTGTTGCTGGTTGCATTGGCAACCATCCTCTGAAGATGGGAGAAAACGTCCTCCAAGCAGTTCTTGGTCGTGGAGCTTCCCTCGTAAAGGAGGCGAGCCAACGTGCGGATGCCTCCTTTGCCTCCGAGGTCGAAGTCATGCTGCAGTAGGCGCGCGAGCACTTCCCGTGCCAGCTGGTGGTCAACCCAGCCGATGTGCTTGAAAACCTCCATCAGTCTCAGGGACTTCTCCTGGCCATTGTCATCTCCTGCAAGCTTCTTCCATTGCATTTCGGCAGCGTAGACAGCCTTCAGCAGAGGTTTCACAAACTTCACAGCTGCTGTCCTGTGTGCATCGTCCTCCAGGAGCCAGACTGCGAGATTCTCGGGCACGTTGCACATGAAGGGCAAATGTGCCCAGACGTAGCGTGCACTGAGCTCATAGCCGAGGTTCACGGCCACCTGCAAAGGCTTCAACTCCTCCTGCACCCAAGCGGCTGCAGGATCAGCCGGTTGCGCTCCTTCTGGAAGCGCGGTGATGCGCAGCCGCTTCAAAAGCTTCGCGCTGTGAGTGCGTTCAGCGATCTCTTGGACGGTGCACCACCACGACCTCGTCCCGGCGGCGCGCTCCGCGGCCCATTTGGCCTGTGCCTCCGGGCCTTCGGCCATGCAGTCCAGATCTCGCGCGTACTCTTTTTCGATGGGCTCACTCAAGTGCAGGATGATGATGGCACACACCTGCAAGTTCCTGTCACCCAAGAACGACAGGACCATTCGATTCGGACCTCGTCCGGAGAAATACTTGTAGAGCTCTTGCTTGGTCTTCGGGGCGTTCTCGTCCACATCGCCCTGCTGCTTCTCCATGTCTATGTCTTCGTCGTCGACGCCCTCAGCTGTTTCGTTCTGCTTGAGAATTATCGTACTACGTCAGCAGAACTATGCTCTTTCAGGGAAGCTTTATCATCGCTCAGGAAGCGGCACAGTGCACCATGGACTTCACGGCCTCGTATTCAAACGTCCAGTCCGAAACGAGCTGCCGGAGTGCTCGCTGGAGTGAGAACCACGACTTGTTTTTCACCTGCACCATGAAACAAGGTTTCAAGCAAGGAGCCTTGCAAACGCAAGAGCACGGCCCAAACTGCTTCCAGGTAGCAAACTCGCCACGCTTCAGCACACAGTCCTCTTCCAGGAATTGCTCGGCATCCATGCGCAAGTCGCGGGCACAGATTTCGGAGATGTCTCTGTCGAAGGCCACAGGATCTTGGAGCTCCTCGTAGTAGCCCTCGTCTTGGAAGGAAAGATATCTCTCAAGACACTGTTTCCTGGACAGAAGCTTGTCTCCGGAATTGTAGCTGCCATGTCGGTGGTTGCCTGAGCTGCTACGGACAAACCATCACGGTGAACACCTCACGCACAAACGATCCCATGCGCTGTATATGTTCAGTCCGGAAACACACAATGGTCAGCTTCAATGCCACCATGTCCAAGGAGGTGTGATTCAATGCGTTTTTGAACACGTTCCATTTGATGTGGCTGCAGTCGTTGTCCAGGCATGCTCTGATGCGTGTATGCTGCAGGATGATGCTGAGAGCTTTTCCTTGTGTCTTCTCTTGGTCCACGACCTGAGACACAGCCCCAACCGGCACACAGCCCCCCCCCGGCACTGGGCGGCACAGGCAGCCCCGCAGGTATTAGGGTCACGTAATGCGGACACAAAACAAACTTCAGCATCTTGAGGTTCTGGAGGGGTGGCACTGTCACCTTGAGCAAGTCTGTGCCCAGCTCCAGCACGTCTTTCTTCTCTGGCATGAAACTGACATAGTTCTTGTCCGTGCAGCAGGTCAGCACGTGATTGATACACTTGAGGTATACCTGATTCCGAAATGCGGGTCTGGGCGGGAACTTGGGAGGTCTCCGGGTCTTCTAGTCTTACTCGTGGCCAGGTCTTGCGCAGGCTTGGGCTTGGCTTCCACGTTTGGGCTTGGCTTCCACGGGCCTCCCGCTCTCTTTTGGGGGCCCGGCGAGCCGTGTTCGATCCGCTCGCCGAGCGGTCTTGCAGGAACCCCCCCCCTCTTCCCTCCCCCTGCACCACCGATGCCATAAGAACTTTGCGGAAGCGCTGAGTTCTACAACTATGTAAGACTGCTACAATATTGACTTCTGCCACTACTGAATATGATCGCGGGGCGAAAATGCGGTTGCAGCTGCCACATGGATTCGGTGAGAACACGGCGACATCTGCTACAACACTAGACCTTTCGGGGCGCTGCTTTGTTTTTGTTCTAGAACACGACACATCTGCTACCGGACACGGATCTGTAGGCCTGGCTTTGCATTTGCATCTGAGTACACGAAATAAACAACTGTTATCGCGACTGTGGACTGCTTCTAGGAACCTGGCCCAGAAGCACTTGCTCTCCTTCTTGCTGATCTTGGGCCTGGGTAAACACTGCAAGATGCCCCTTCCTAGTGTGTCCAAATCCCATCAGTTTTCGAGGCCTCAGAACGGAGGTCCCGTCGAGCGTTTCCCAGACCACTTTCTCCATGGCCTCGGAGCGGTGGGCTGGTGAACTAGACACGCACACATGACAGCTGGCTACAAACGCAGCACTCAGTACAAGCGATCGCACCACAGTGTCGCATCGACGGCATGCAGCATCTTTTGCATGTCTGGCAGTGCTGTAAGCAGCATGCACATCCAAGGTTTCTGTATGCCTAGGCCTCTGGGTGATCCCAAGCACAACAGGCAACTGCATCACACGAAAGGGAGCTATACCACAACCGTACAATGTACAACTTCTAGAGACAAGGACTTTCTGATGCAACCTGTCACATTCGTAGCACAAAGCTTCATACAAAAATTCAGATGCTCTTGCATCACGGGCCGCCACTCACGACAAAACTTGGCGAAGCCCGGCCACGGGCTCACGTGCTGCTCAGTCCTGGCACGATGACATAGGAAAAAACACTTACCAGTGAATGCGCTCAACACATTCACGCATTCACGACGTGCGTGCATACTACTGCCTCAGCGCAAGAAATCAAACAGAAGCACGCACACAAACACTTTGGGCATGTACATGTACGTGTTTCTCTCTCTGTCACTCTGTGTCTCTGTGTGTGTGTGTGTGTGTGTGTGTGTGTGTGTGTGTGTGTGTGCGTGTGCGTGTGTGTGTGTGTGTGTGGGTGGGTGGGTGGGTGGGTGGGTGTGTGGTTGTGTGTGTGTGTGGCTGGGTGTGTGTGTGTGGGTGTCTGTGTGTGTGTGTGTGTGGCTAGGAGTGTGGCTGTCTGTGGGTGTGTGTGTGTGTGGGTGTGTGTGTGTGTGTGTGGGTGTGTGTCGGTGTCGGTGTGTGGGTGTATGGTGGCTGTCGTGATCCTGCCAACTCCCGTGACTCAAATCTTAGAGCTTGTGTCACTAGCTCATCAAGCCCACCCTGCCACCCAGCATCATGAGCATCAGTCGGGGTCGGTTGCCGTCTCCTGTTTCAACAAACACACAGGAAAATCACGTGGGTGGGTGGTGTGGGGTAGGGTGGGGTGGGTGGGGGAGGTGGTGGGCGGGTGGGGGTGTGGGTGGGTGGGTGGAGTGGTGGAGGGTGGGTGGTGGCTGCTGGGGTGGGGGTGGGTGGTGGGGTGGGTGTGGGTGGTGGGGTGGGTGTGGGTGGTGGTGGGTGGGGTTGTGGGCCAGGGGGGGGTACGGGAAAATCGTGCAGGGGCCACGATTTTCCTGTACCCCCCTGCGTTCCAGAGCCCTGTTCCTGCCTGTGTTGGGGACTTCGGCAGGCGTCGATCCGATCTCGGTGTTCGAGGGCTTGGCGACGCCACTGCGTCCATCAAGGGAGGCAACGACGGGCGGCTGGGCGCCGCTCTGGCGCTGGTCCTTGGATCCGCCACACACAAACTCGGACACATTTCCAAAATCCAAACCGAGGCACCTCAAACTGATGTCGAAAAGGATGTCGGGCTCCACCACTTCTTTGGAACGCTTGCCATCCAAAACCTGGTCCGCCCAACGCGCCTTCACGGCTTCGGGCTCCCCCTCCGCATCCAGGATGTACCGTGTCAGCTGATCCTGTTCGTCGTAGGCTCTGGTGAGGGTCCACAAGTGCTCTCCCTTGAGCTTGACGCAGCGCGAGGTCACAGGACACACAAGGTAGGTGCCAGCATTGTCAGCATCACTGACGAGCGTGTAGAGGAAGGGGCGCTCGGCCTCCGGAAGATCGGGCACTTCCACCTGCTCCTCCTCGTCAGTGCTGTCCGCTTTCTCCTGCATGATTGGAATATATCTGATACACGGTGGCTGCACTGTAAGTTCCCTTATCCAACTCCTGGCCCTCATCCGCGCTGGGCTCCGAGGACTCCGCGTCAGGGTCCTCAGACAAATGCTGGGGAGAGCGGGGGTCGGGAAGGGAGCCGCGGGACATTGCATGCATTGCATAGATTGCAGAGAGTTAACAGGCACATTCCCCACAACACATAAACAAGCACACGACTTGTTCCTGGGCTTCTCACTGGCATCCGTGGGGCAGCCTTGCTTTTGGCTGTGGTCGCATTGGCGGCCACCTTGGCCTCGTGGGACGGCACCACGGGCGCTCCTGGACCTGCCCGCAGGCCGGGGAGACTCGAGACTAGCTGGGCAAAGCCTGAAAAATCCACCGGCCTATCACGTCCATGCCCAACATTGGAACTGTACCAGCAGTGAGCCCCTGGTTTTTTTGCTGCTTCTTGCTGCCTCGCTCTTTCTCCTTCTCCTCCGCTTCAGCAGCCTGCACAAACATTGTGGCGCAGTACTCCGGCGTAGAGTCCTCTCCGTGCCAAAGGCAGTAGAAGCCGTCGGGGGTCGTGTAGACTGCGTAGCGTCCTTTGCTGAGAGCAGCCAAAGGCAGCTCGTCACCGCTGGGGCTGTGCTGCAGGAATGTCTGGCCTGACCTGAGCAAGAGCTTGTACTCATCGTCCGCATGGTATGCTGCCGGGGCAGCATGCTCAACAGCAGCTGGGGGCTTCTCCGTCGTCCCGCTCTCTGGACCTCGAAAATCCACGATCTCCTTGGGAAGAGCCGCCGGTACTGTGTCTGTGGCACGAGGAAGCTCGTGCCCGTAGGCGCCAGCATCCTCTTTGGCACCAGGCTGGACCAGCTTCCAGCGAACCCAAGAAACCATCTGCTTTGGGGTCCATCTCGTGTGTGCGCACGGCTGCCCACGACGCCGGTACTCGTGCTGGGCGATTTCAACGAGCTCCACCCACGTAGACCTCAACAAATCACGTTGCATCAAGTCTCCGAGAATCTGTGCAAAACCGCGTGCTTCCGGGCATGGCATCACAGAGGTGCGGAGTGCTAAGTGGCGTGCCCATGCGCATCCTGCTTTGGGGTCCATCCCAGAGCAAACAGCAACATGGCAAACTTGGTCTGTCGGGACACACTCTTGGTCACGCCCGAGCCCAAGAAGGTGGGATCCACGTCCGCGAGCAAGTCCTCCAAATGATGGTCCTGCACATGCAGGGTGCACTGGAGTCTACATCCTCCTGGGGGGAGGGGAAACCAGAGTGCATGGCAACAAATGGGCCTTGGCGTCTTCGTAGGTCTTGAAAGGCACAGAGACACCCTTGCGCTTGCGGCCTGTGGTGCTCTTAGCCGATGCAGCTCTGTGCGGCTTCGTCCTGGTCTTGCCCTTATTCGCGTCTTCACTCGGGAGGCCGACAGTTCCTGCTGGGAACCTAGGTTGACAAGGGATGTGTCGTTTATGAGGTTCCCCCATCTGCGAGATCTACTGATTGCAGAGCGAATAAGAGCAGGCCAGCGGCAGCAAGGGCTCCTCTGAGCCACGCAGAGTGGACGTGGGAGTCCTGTGAGCACCTGCGACATCAGGGCCTGCAGCTCGCTGAATCTTGGCCGGCTTCGGGCCAGCTGGCACCGGAGGTGGAGGAGGCGCCGGGGCCGCAGGGGTTCGAGGCCTAGGCGAGGCCGCGGCACGACGGATGGGGCCGGACATCTCCCTTTGAGGGTTGTCTGCAACGGTTGAGCCTGAATCTCAGGAACAACATCAGAAGCATGTCTGGGAGACCAAGATGCATCAGGCTCCTCAGCAGGGTCCAAACGACCTTTATTTTCACACAACAGTCAGGGAGCACGCCTGCGAGTCCGCGGTCTAATGTCTGCGGCCCCGCCACTGACGGTCGCAAGGCCGGACTGTGAAACATCCAAGTAGCACAGGCCTCCACCCACTGGAGCAGGAAGCGTTGTGCTTAGCATTCAATCTTGGCAAAGGAAAGCAAGGCAACCAGCTGAACAACAGACACTGTGGAGAAGTGAAAGCTATTCCCAGCCACATGCTGCGCCCGTCGCACATCCAGGCAGGGAAACTTCGGAACACCCATAGCGGCTGCTGTCTCATCTGTCACTGGCAACCCAAGTGCTGCGAGTCTTTCGCGTGCCGTCATCCAGCGACTCCTGGGCACCGACCACAAGAGGCCACCCGTGGCTCGGAAAGTTGGGACCCGCCCGGAGGCAGCAGACCAGCACTGTCGTTCGCTCGAGTCACCCAGGTGAATAACCAAGTTCTTGTCTTGGTAGGGATCACTGCGATGTTTCTTCCGATAGACACACAACAGATCACTCAGCACACGGCGTTCACGCGGAAGCAGCAGGGAGTCTAGATTTGGATCTGCACCTGGGTAGACCTAGGCGACGCTGCTGATTGCTGACTCCAGGACACACACACACACACGAAGTGAGCTAGGAGTCTATAGAGTTCAAAATGCAAGCCTCATTTGTGAGCCCGGGTGCTGTAGGCACTCTGACGCCACGCTGTGTCGCTCTGATCTGGGCCTCTCTGATGCACTCCGTCTTGTCCGAGATGAAGTAATCGGAGGGCTGTGTGCTCACATAACGCACGATATGCTGAGACACCCTGGCATACAGCTGCTCCACATCCTGCAACTGACGGGTACGCTGCTTGTGACTCAGCACCATGTAGACACGAGGCCGGGCCACACCGTGATGACCTTGATCGTCGCAGTCCACGTACAACGGGCACACACGGTAGTCATCGTCGTAGAGGTATCTGACCATCTCCACGCGGAAGGCCTGGCAGGGCAAGAGCAACAGAAGGGAAGCCCGGCTGTATGTCAGGGTCCAAAACATGGTACCCTAGCGCGGAAGCTGTCCTGAACATTCTCAATGATCAGTAACGGCGTTCGCAGTTCCTTGTGACGCTTCGCGTGAGCCATGAACACGGAAGCTGTAGGTCCATGCTCCTGCAGCCTCAGCCCTGCAAGAGAGTGGTCCCAGCAAGGAAGACCCGAAGTGTCCAGGTCAGAGTGGAGCGATGAAGCGAAGAGGTCGCACTTTTTCTGGTGCGTGTAACAGTACTGATACCTTTCGAAGACCGACCTGCTTATGTCATGCAGACGGAAGGCAAAGGCATCCTGCGGATTGAAAGCTCCTGCAGGAAGACAGCCCTCTACCTCCGCGAAGACACAGGGAAGAGGCATGAAGTGCCCCGTGACCTGCTGGCACCAGCAGTGGTTGTCACGCATCAGCTGTCTGCAGTGCTCGTCGGTTTCCTGAGAGTCCGTGTGACGCACGGGCGCAACAAGCAGCACATGCAGAAACAAAGCCAAGTCTCGTGACAACAAACTGCGCGGTAGACCGGTGGGGTCTCAAAGTAGGCGCTGTCCGCAAGGGTCTTTTGAAGGACGGACAAACTAGTCTCGGCCGTATAGGCGCCTGTGCAGGAGCTCGAAGTTCGCAGATGCTGCGCCAACATAGAAGCCTCGCGTTGCAAGGTAAACATTTGGGTCTCCGTTTGGGGCCAGGATACCACATGCTATATACTTGCACCCCGGAGCCCTAAGCACCTGGACGTCCTGGCGGGACAGGGCCCGCGATAGATACATCCACGACAGCTGAAGGAAGTGGGCTGCCCGAACCAGATGGTTGGGCTCTCGCAGAAGGTCCTGTCGGCAGTGCGAAGTGGGTCCGGACCCCGCAGGAAGTATTCGGGATTACCCTTCAGTCGGCCTCCACGGGCTGGGAACTGCAACTGGTGGTCTCCGTGGGAACCAGCTCGCCACTTTCCCAGCTGTTCGAGGCTGCTTCAGTCGAAACGTCGGCCATGGCCGGAACAGTACTCGTCCTACTCAGCTCTATTTCAGGAAGTGCTGCCTACCATCCTACACGCAGGAAGGCATCAGGCTCCCTGTGGCGACCATAGCCCCAGCTTGTAGGAGCTGCCGTCTGGATTGCACAAAACCATGCCTTCCCTACAACCTTCTCGATCTGAAACGCATTGGAATCGGTAAAGAGGTGTTAGCTGGCAGGCCCGAACACCGGCGTGCAGATGCTTAGTTCCAGGCCAATGGAGGCCCAAAGCCTCCAGCCTTCTTCTCCGGAGAGTACAAGAAAAACAGGTTGCACGGCTTCTTCGCCACCGAAGACCCGTCGAAGTATACCTGCGCTGCTGCTTCAATCCGGAACGCAAGCCTACATTCCTCGGCTAGCACCTGCAACTTCTGGGTATAGCTCAGGGCCGCACGTGGTAAACATCTACTTCTCGAAGCTCCGTCAGGAGTCGCCGGTAATACACACCCTGCACAGATCTGAACAAGTTTATCTTGGATCTATTTGATTACGCCACTACATAGCCCTGCTGCCACACATAACTTCATAGCATAGCTGGATGATCATGCTCAATTCAGACAGTATGCGACAGCTTCCACTGCAAAGTGCGTTGTGTTCGCTGTCAAGCCCGCATCAGACAAGGCCGCAGCGATCGTTGTGGCTGGTGCCCTGGCTGTTTCTCTCGCCACTTGTCCGCTGTTGCCCGATCGGCCCGACCACAACTCCAACGCCACATCTCTGAGTGCGGCACCTCTGAAATCTCTGTAGGTGCGGTCGCTGCGGAATCGGCTAGCCGCATCCATCTCTGCTGTGCTCCCAAGCGCCTTGACATTCTGGTCCAGCAGCTGCGCGATTTGCGCAAAAAGGCTGAGACCCATGCCACTGCACACATCGAATGCTGCATGCGTGTCCTCTAATGCAAAGTAGATGAAGTCTACAACTGACGGTTGTACGAAGACCGTCGTGATGCAACCTGTCTTCTGATCCAAACGTGCGAAATCCCACTCCAGCTGCAACGCGTCTCTGATGTTCTGCTGATAAGGCCACACGTGCGACCCTGGCAAGAGCATGCCAGGGGACACCTTCACAGTGTGCCAGGACTGACCCGCACATCTCTGAAATTCCAAAGTAATGGAACCCCTGCTGGACAAAAGCTTGGCCAGGAGCGCCTCCAGCAGACCCTTGGCCCGCATGCGGTCCTGCGGAACTCGTTTCCTGGACAACATGGCCCAGGCTATGAAAGAGACAAGAGTCGAAGTCCGCATGGAGTTGTGGCTCAACCAGAGCACTTGCTCTGTGTCGGCTGCAACCTTGCTCGTGGGATTGTTTTTCGAAATGAGATACTTGGGCATCGACATCCCTGGCCAAATTCTGCGGTGAAACTCTGCAACATTCTCCTTCTGTTCCTGAGCTCATGGACAACTCACACGAAACAGCAGTATCTAGAAGCACTTCATTCGGTGAACTGCAACAGCTGCAAACAAGAAAGACAAGGAACATAGAACTTCGTCATGATTTTGGCTTCATTCTTCGTCTTGAACAGTTCGCCCAGCACCACTTTTGTGGTCCAGACAGACTGTTCGCCTGGAATGATCCATGCCGGAATCTTGAGATCCTCGCGCAACGCCACAATACCTCGGGCTTTAATCTGAAATATCCCGAATACAAAGGGAACTGTCGTTACGATTCTTGAGCGGACTCAACGGAGCAGCACTGAGCATGCCGCACAGTTTCGTTGCCGTGTCCTGTGCCATGGCTCTGCCTCGCAAATTGCACAAACCCGCTGCCCGTTCACACTGTCACACCCAATCTCCGGACTCCCCGCCCCTTCACTTACGCAACACCTTCAACAGCTGCCCGGCCTTCACTGACGTTGGGTTGCCCGTGTTGAAGGGCACCCCAATGCTTGCAGCCAATGCATGGTCTCCGACTGATGCTGCAGATTTGCTAGGGGGGGGTAGTGTTGGGGGGGGGAGAGGCCTAAGCCCTGATAAACCCTAAATCCTAAACCCCTAAACCCCCGAAACCCCTAAACCCCTAAACCCCCGAAACCCCCAAAACCCCCTAAACCCCTAAACCCTAAACCCCTAAACCCAAATCCTAAACCCCTAAACCCCGAAACCCCTAAACCCCTAAACCCCCGAAACCCCCGAAACCCCTAAACCCCTAAACCCCCGAAACCCCCAAAACCCCCTAAACCCCTAAACCCTAAACCCCTAAACCCAAATCCTAAACCCCTAAACCCCGAAACCCCTAAACCCCTAAACCCCCGAAACCCCCGAAACCCCTAAACCCCTAAACCCCCGAAACCCCCAAAACCCCCTAAACCCCTAAACCCTAAACCCCTAAACCCAAATCCTAAACCCCTAAACCCCGAAACCCCTAAACCCCTAAACCCCCGAAACCCCCGAAACCCCTAAACCCCTAAACCCCTAAACCCCCGAAACCCGCGCCCTGACGCTTAAGCCCCAGCCTGGGCTGCGTAGCTGCGGCCCTTACCCAGCGCTCTGGCGACCTAAAACTCTCACAGTGAGGGTTCAGGGTTTATAGGGTTTAGGGTTTGGGGTGTAGGGGTTTAGGGGTTTAGGAGTTTTTTAGGGTTTAGGGATTTAAGGGTTTAGGGGTTTAGGGTACTCTCAAATTGTTGGTTTAGGGTTTAGGGTTTAGACTCAGCATTTAGGGTTTAGGGTACTCTCGAAGTGTTGGTTTAGGGTTTAGGGTTTAGGCTTAGAGTTTAGGGTTTAGGGTACTCTCACATTGTTGGGTTTAGGGTTGGGGCTTGCGAGGGTTTGGACAGTTTAGGGTTAGGGTTTCTAGGTTCCACAGTGTCCCCTTAATGATGAGGGTACAACTTTTAAAACGAGCAGTTCCGGAGTTAAGGACGAATGGGTTGGTGATGATTGTTGGTTCCCTTTTTAAAGAGGGTTATGACTACCACGCTAACTAGGAGAACTAGTTTCTAACAGTACTAACGTCAAAGTGACTAGTTCCTAGAAACAGCATCAACAACAGCAGCGGCAGCAGCAGCAGCAGCAGCGACAGAACCAGCAACAAAAACAACAGCAAAAACAACAACAAAGGCAACAACAACCACAACAACGACAACGCCAACAAAAACAACAACAGAAACAATAACAACCGCAACGGCAACAGCAACAGCAACGAGCAGCAGCAGAAGCAGCACCAGAAGCAAAACAAACACATCGTCAACCAAGTCTCATATCTAGAAACTCGGCAGTGAAGACGCTGCACATCTGTCGATATGTAAGTTATTTCAGGCTTGAGGAAGGCTCGGGAAAAACTTAGGCCCTGCTTGGGATGGAGCTTTTGTGTTCTAGGGTTTTAGGGTCTTCGGGGGGGTTAGGGTTTAGGGTGTAGGCTCGCAAGTCGTGCCGACGGGTTTTCATCATTCTTTCGGTCGGCACTCATCCGTGCTACTCACATTCTGAATCGCTGAACCTATCGCAGCTGGGGAGCCGTGCTCTTGTGTAGGCTCTAGTTTGTAGGGGCGTACTGGACTTTCTTCTACTTGGGGTGTGGTGTCTGTATGAAAACACAATATATTCCTTATCCTGAGCTTATAGATATCGTCAAAATTTCTCTGCTGGTGCCAATCCTAGTGATCGACGCCTGCATGAGCGCATTAGCATGTCAAACATTGTGGCTCAGGGTTCTGGTTAGTCATCCTCAACGATCGCGACCACATCGTCATCACCAGCAGGATCCCAGAGAGCCCAATACCCCTTAATCAAGGAATATACCTTAAATCATAATATTAAAGCCTCTATAATTTCAGGTATATTCCTTAATTAAGGGGTATTGGGCTCTCTGGGTTCTGCAGCATCATTGTC